TTTTTTGGTACTCAAGATTGTACCCAGGTTGCTTAAACCACTGAGTTACATCCTCAATCCATTTTATATTTTTATTTTTAGACAGGATCTTGCTAAGTTACAAAGGCCGGCCTCAAACTTGCCATCCTCATGCTTCAGCCTCCTGAGTCACTGAGATTTTAGGCATGTGTCCCTACACCGAGATCTGATAGCTTTTTATTTTTTATTTTTTATTTTTAGTTGTGGATGGACACAATACCTTTATTTTGTTTATTTAGTTTTTTAATGTGGTAGTGAGGATTGAACCCAGTGCCTCACATATGTTAAGCAAGCGCTCTACCGTGCACCATAACCCCAGCCCCTCTGATCGCTTTTTATAAAACTAACACACACCTACCCTCTGACCTAGCAATTTCACCCAAGAGAAATGGAAAAAAAAATATATTTTTAGATAGATTTTTACAAGAATGTTTGTAACTACTTTATTCATAGCTATCCACGCCTGGAAACCATCCAAATGTCTATTGATAGGAAATCAGCTAGACAAAATGTGGAATGGTGCATATAATGGAATACTACAGCAATAAAAGGAACATAGCGTTGATATGCATAATGACCTAGATGGAATTTTAGAACAACAAAAACAAATCTATGATGAAAAAAAGCAGAGTTGTTGCCTCTGGGCTGGTGGGAGGGGAGACTGGCTGGGAATGGGCAGGAAGGAATCTTCTGGGATGATGGAAATGTTGTCTCTGGAGCAGTTTCATGTGTACACAATTGCCAAAACTTATTGAATTAAACACTGAAAAATCTATGCATTTTGTTATACATAAATTATACCACAATAAAAACAAAAAGGATAGCTAAGAAGATGATAAAAGAATGAGTCCATAATTAGACACACACACACACAGATGAAAATTTAGCTTCATTTCAAATGAGTCGATTAAAATGGGTTATTTAATAATGGTGTTGAGGTAACTGGGAAAAAGTAGGTTGGAACCACATACCACTTCTTATATCAACATTAACTTTGGGTAGATCAAAGATCTAAAGGTGATCAATGAAATCCTGAGAGCACTTAAGCAAGCATGGGTAATTATTGTGTTGTTTTTAGTGTGGAAAGGAAAGGCCTTTCTCAAAATGATTCAAAACCAAAAGCCCCATAGGAAGAGATGAATGGGACCACACTAAAATCAACTCCATCTGATTGAGAAAAAAAATACCGTAACTAAAATTAAAAGAAAAATTTAAAAACGATGATGTAAAGAGAAACCACATTTTTAAAAGATTAATAACCTAAGAGAAAAAATGGGCCCAGGATATGGACAGATGGTTCACAGAAAATATATGCAAATGGCTTCTAAACATATGAAAAGACATCCATGCTCAATTATAGTAAGAGAAAGGCCAATAAAAATCTACATCAAGTTACCATTTTCCCCTATGAGAGAGCATAGATCAAAATTTTTTATAATATCCTATCCGTGTTGGTGGATGCTGGGCAATACACTTTCCTGCCTCGTTGATGGGAATATAAATTGATTGACTCTTGTGAAGACAATCTGGTGATATCTATCAAATATAAAACTGCACTCACCCTGTGACCCAGGCATTCAGCTTCTAGGAATTAATTCAACAGATACACTTCCACATGTCCAGAAAGACAAACGACAGAGACATCTAGTGCAGCCTTGCTCGCAGAGGCAAATAATAGCCATCAAGAGGAAGCTGGCTCAATAAATGGCCATGCCTAGACATAATGGGATTGCTCGAGATTGCCTGAAGTACCCCGTGGTGCAGTGTGTTCCTCAGCACTCAGCCTCTCAGGCCGGGAGCCTGGATCCTAGCATCCACTCCGCTACTTACTGACTGTTTGATGACACCAATTATAACCTAACCTTGCTAGGCCTCAATTTTCTTTTCTCTAAAATGGGATTGGTAACAATAACAACAATAATAATAATGTCACCTACCTCAAAACTGGAGCTTAAATGAGTAACTACACTTAAGGCATTTAGAGCAGGGCCTGGCATATGGTAAGTACTATTACATATAGGCTAGAATTGTTGCTCATCTGAAACAATCTCCAAAATATATTAAATACAAAAAAAAAAATCAAGATACAGTACCAATTGTATAAAATTGGGTTGTGGTATTGGAATGTTACATGGTACCCCATAAATATATACAATTACTACGTGTCAATTAAAAATAAAAAATATATTTTTAAAAAACTGGGTTTGGGGGCTGGGGTTGTGGCTTGGAGGTAGAGCGTTCGCCTAACATGCATGAGGCACTGGGTTTGATCCTCAGCATCACATAAAATAAAATAAAGATCTTGTGTCCACTAACTAAAATATAAATATTTTTAAAACTGGGGTTTGTGGAACAGTTATACATATTTGTGCTTGCATAAGCATAAAATAGCTGTAGAAGGATACATTAGAAACTGCAAATTGCATCTGAAGAATGAGTGATCAGGTGTGTGAGTCAGTTCTTATCGAGTAACTTTTATGCTTATAGGTATTTTTTCCTACAAAGCATAGGTACTGTCTTTTCCAAATTTTTTTAAATTAAAAAAAATGTATATTTTGAAAAAAAAAAAAGTCCCCTGGGGTGATAGAATTGTTCTATGTGCTGATTATGGTGGTGGCATCCCAAATCTATCCATATGTTAGAATTCATAGAACATAAAGAGAAAAAAAGTAAATTTTATTGCATGATAATTTTTTTTTTCATTTAAAAAAGAAAGTCTTTTTGGTCCCAATGCAGAATGTAGAGCAAGCCTGGAGGTCAGATGACTGGTGTGGAGGTAACTGCATTTTGCAGGAGTGAAAAGCCCTTGAGCCAGGAAAGGAACTGCAGAGGGAACAGGAAAGGGAGGAGAGAGCTCAGCACTGCCTGGAGGAAAATGCCTGGTGCTTGGTGTCTTGAGTCACACAGGGGCTCCATGCCCACTCTGGCCAGGCACCTGTCCTAATACTCTTTCCTCATAATAATCCCAAAGGATGGCAATTATTGTCACCCCATATTTCCAAATGAGATTAAAATGACTTGTTTAAGATCATTTTGTTCTCAGACTTTGGAGTAAGCCTGTCTGATTCTAAAACCTGTGCTTTTTTTTTTTTTTTTTATGGAAGGGTCCTTTCCTCCTAATAAATTAGGTCGAGAGGAATAAAGGAAGGCCTCACAGAGGAAGTGAGGACATTTGAACTGGAGCCTTAAGGAATTTATCCAGGGCTTCTGTCCTGAAAAATTCCAAGTGGTGCCATTCACTATGTGGTGTCTGAGATTGGCTCTCCTTGCAGTTGTGAAGTGTACAACTTGCACAGCCCTGGGCAGCAACTCTGAGTTTTCACACAGAGATGAGGAAGGTGTATCAGTTAGATAATGCTGTGTAACAAAACACCTTCCAAACACAGTAGTTTAAAACAATAAACATCTACAGGCCAGCGGAGTAGTTCTGATCTTAGAGCTGGGCTTATTCTTGCCTCTTAGTCAGCTGGTAAATGAACCACAGGGTGATCAAGCATCCTGCTTTACCTGGGACTATCCCAGTTATAGCACTGAAAGACCCATGTTCAGTAAACTCCTCCATGCTGGAGGAAATTGAGATGGCTGGTCACCTTGTTGCCTGGGAGCTCTCAGGTCTAGGTCAACCTGGGTTGAGTTGCTGGACCTCTGTCCATGGAGAGAGGTCTAGCAGCCTATCACAGGTCATCCTCATAACAGCAGCCACAGCACCCCAGGAGCAAATAGCAGCAAGGTCATGTCTGCTGCCACGTTCCACAGATCACAACAAATCATAAAGCCAGCCCAGATGGAGTGGTTGCAAAGTAGCCTCCCTCTCTTGATGAGAGGAACTGTGAAGTCACATTGTAATAAAAATTATACAGGCAGGGGAAAGAACCAGAGCAAATTTTTTTTTTTTTTTTTAAATCTTGGTATTGGAAATTGAACCCAGGGCACTTAACCACTGAGCCACATCACCACCCCATAGAGTCTCACTAAGTTGTGAGGCTGGCCTCCAACTTGCTATCCTCCTGCCTTAGCCTCCTGAGTCACTGGGATTACAGGCGTGAGCCACCACACCTGATTACAATCAATTTTGTAATCAATCAGGCACAAAAGGGAAGTCCTGACTCAGGTGCACCAATAAACACAGGGGGATAAGAGCTGCCCCACTAGCCTGTAAATGCTTATTGTTCTAAACGAACATCTATGTTGGGGAGGTAGTTTATTACACAGCACAATCTAATTGCTGCACCTTCCCCATCTTATGTGAAGTATTTGGGAGTGACATGAAGTTCAATGTGGCTGGAGCATGGTGGGGTTGTAAGAAGATGAGGAGAGAGAGAAGAATGGCAGAGACCAGGCGTTTTCTCATCTTCTGGCCTGGCAGGATGGGGAGAGCAGAGAGGAACCATTAATCCTTTATACAGATGAGGAGACAGAGTGGGCGTGACCCGATAAAGCTAGATGGGAGCTGAAATCCTAGAACTCCCAGAGGCCTGGCTGTGTTGCGGGGCTTTGTTATTCATTCCTTGAATTTGAATGATTTTTTTTTTCCCTCTGAAAATCCCCTGGTGCTCCCACTGTATCATTAGGTAGCAAATGGATTTGCAGGTGTTCAATTAGGCTGGAAAATTATAGACAACGAGAAGCCTTGACCAGGATTCTCTCACCTCCTGGGGGGCCTTCAGGGCTGAAAATCAGGCCAGTTTCCAGAGAAAAGGCCTCTGTGCCAACACCCTGGCCAACCAGGCCCAGGTCAGTCCCACTGAGTGACAGCTCACTTGTAGGGCTTGGGACTAGTGGCTCCCCTCCCTGGACCTTGGCTACTATCTGTACCTTGAAGAGGCAGCTGCGATTTGAGACGGCAAGGAGCCACCTATAATCCCAAGCAGGAGGCCGGGTGGGGGCAATCTGGTGATAGAACCACGAGTGCTGGGGCATTACTGCCCCCAAAGTGGCTGAGGAGAGAGGCGGTGGAAGGTGACAGCCCAAGATGGCCATGAGGAGTCGGAAGGGCCTCTGTCCTTTATCGGAAAGGACAGAGGGTACTGTCTGACACTAAAGCCTATTGTGTACCCAGGGCTCACAAAGCCTGCTGGAGTCTCTTCAGCTGCTCTGCCCACCCAAGAGGGAACCCTGGCTGCCCCAGGGGGCAGATGAGGAAACTGAGGCTCAGGAGAGAAAGTGGCATACTGCACGGTAGGCATTTCACATGGAGAGGCGGGGAGGGGTGTGTGTGTGTATGTGTGTGTGTGTGTGTGTGTGTGTGTGTGTGTGTGTGTGTGTGTGTGTGTGTGTGTGTGTGTCACAGGGGGAGGGGGGGTGTATGCACATGCGCATGTGGACACCTGCACTTCCAGGCTCCTCCCACAAATATGCTGAGCTTCTGCAGAGAACCACCCGCAGAAGTTGCTGTTGCCTCTGCAACACCCTGTCCTTCTCTGTGCTCCAGGGACTGCATCACATGAGCTCCTTGGCTGCTGGCTTCTGGATGGTGCTGCAGTTGGGGCAGCAGCAGGACTCAGAGGGAGGGGAGGCTGGGGGTTTGTCCCTGGCTCCAGCCTGGCTGCCTAGGGTCCAGCACCCCCCGCCTGCAGGTGAAGCTTCCGCTTGCTGCTAGTCTGGCAGTTTGTTCCACTATTCCTCTGCCTGTCATTGAACCCCACAAGGCTGTTCCCACCCTCAAAGGGGTAAGTCTCCGGACACAGTGGTGCACACCTGTAATCCCAGTGGCTGGGGAGGCTGAGACAGGAGGATTACAAGTTCAAAGCCAGCCTCAGCAAAAAGCAAGGCGCTAAGCGACTCAGTGAAATCCTGCCTCTAATAAAATACAAAAAAATAGGACTGGGGATGTGGCTCAGAAGTCAAGTGCCCGAGTTCAACCCCTGGTACCCGCCATAAAAGGAGGGATATGTCACCTCTAATTCCTCCTGCTCCTTTCCTGCCTCCCAAGGTATCCTGTGAACACGCTCCACCACAGTCCCCGAAAAGCAGTTTTCCCCCATTCATGCCTGCCACTGAGCACAGTCAGTATATATTTGATACTTGCCCCTCAATCAACTTGCTTTTTTTTTCCTTCTCTTTTTCTATTCACACTTTTAAAAAAAATGAGCCTAGGTTTCTTTTTTTTTTTAAATAAACTTTCTGTCTTAGAATAGTTTTAGATTTACAGAAACATGGCAAAGATATTTCAGAGATCCGCTTGCTTCTTAGACCTTGTTTTTTAAAGAAAGTGTTTTGTTATTTCTGCAAATGGAAAATCAGCATGACTTACCTCAAATGGACTTTAATCTTAAAAATGAACAGTGAAAACAAAACGATGTTATTAAATTTTAAAAATTGAAATAAAAAATGAACAGCTCAATACAGGTAGTAATAAATCTGATTGATTAACTAAAATGCAGTCTTTGTAGAGTTGCCTGGTGTGTGTGTGTATGTGTGTGTGTGTGTGTGTGTGTGTGTAGGTAAAGAGGCAGGAGGCAAGCCCCTTCACAGTGCAAAGCCTTCCGTGGCTGCCATGTGGTTTTCTGCCATGGCCCAAATCCATGACCCTGCTGCCAGTTCTCCAAGGATGGGCCAATCACAGCACAGTCTGAATTGTGGAGCACCTGCCTTGTATGGGCACCATTCTGATGACTTCCCCGTGTCTCCCCACAACCTGCCAGTGTAGTGGGTACTGTCATCATCTCCAGGTTTTAGATGAAGAAATTGAAACAGGTTAGGGACGTGGTTCAAGGCTCAGCCAGGAGCCATACATGATTATCAGGCTCCAAAGGGTGCACCTTTAACCACTGTGCTCTACTACCAAGAGCAGAAAAAAGAAGGAACCATTTTTAATTTTCTTAAAAAAGAAAAGACAGTCAAGGGGGAAAATCAATTGATTCAAGGGGGCATCTCCTCAATTTTTATTTTCCCCAACCAACTTCATACCCTGAAACGTCTTAATTATGTAGAAAAATTGAAAGCATATAAAAATGAAGCTACCCTACAGATAGCCTCCTCCAAGGTTCAACAATGGCCGACCTTCTGTATGTGTGTATATTCTATTTGAATTGAAATAAACAAAGCCTTTTCCCCACGTGTCCTTGACAATAATACCAGGTTTGGTGTGCATGTTATTTTTTATTTTTTTTTGCAATAAATTCATTTAAAAATGAATGCATTACTGTGAAAATAAGGAGATGTTTATCTGCAACCCTCATCAAACCTCCCTGTTCACCCCTGGTGGCGTGAGTGACACACACTAGGAAAATCAAGCCTCGAAGCAGAAGGGGGCTCCGTGGAGAGCTGTAGATCTTTTCAACAGGCTTCAAGCTGCCCACGCTCTGTTCCCTCTGGTGATAGGGTTTCAGGGGTCAAGGTGGGGAGAGCAGGGGTTCCTCATCCCAGGTGGAGGTGACCAATGTACTGACGTGGGGCTTTGCACTGGCTGCTTCCTGTGCCTGGAAACTCTTCCTGCATATTCTTGGGCTCCCTCCCTCCACTTGGGCCTCTGCTCACAGATCCCCTCTCAGAAAGTCTTTGCTGACCATCTAGCCTCAGTAACCCCACTCTACTTCATTTTTCTTCAAAGTACTTCAATCCACAACGCTGTGTCTACACGGGTCCAGAACCTCCACGATGACAGGGACACTCTCTTTACTCAGCACTACACCCCTGCCTGGCCCAGAGCCCAACACTAGCATGAGCTAAATGGGTGATTGTGGAACAAACAGATGAATGAATGAATCAGTGGCCTAGTCAGATTCAGACCCTACACGTGGTGCTGTCACCTGGGCTGTTGTAGCCTCTGATGGCCTGCCCACTACAATGAAGAACTCAGTCTTTGCTCCGGAGAGGTGGCTGCATTTGGTTGTATTTCCCAAGAATTTTTCCACAGATGTGATTTCTTTTGTGTGTCCCTCTGAAACTAGATTCATGTTTATTTCACACAGTAATGTGACTCCCTGAGGAACTGTTGTTGGATATGGAATGCCCCACAAAGGCTCATGTGACGAAGGCTTGGTTCTCGGTGCAGCAGTGTTTAGATGTGGGACTTCTGGGAGTGATTGGATCATGAGGGCTCTGACCTCATTAGTGGATTCCATGGGTAGCTGAGTGGACTACTGGGAGGTGGAAACTGTAGGCAGATGGGGCATGGGTAGAGGTGTGCCCTGGGGAACTTTATCTTTCTCTCTGTGTCTGTCTCTCTGTCTGTCTGTCTCTCTCCCCTTCCCTGCTGCCAGGAGCTGAGAGCTTTCTCCCAAAGCACCTTTCCACCATGATGTTCTGCCTCATGTCGGACCCACAGCAATGGAACCAGAGACCTTGAAGCTTTGAAAACTTTGAAACCATGAGCCAAAATAAATCTTTCCTCCTTTAAGTTGTTATTGTCAGGAGTTTTGGTCACAGGAACGAGAATCTGACAATCACAGGAACTGAGAGGGAGTTTGTGCCCATCATGGAGTGCCTGCCAGGGACTCAATGAGGACAAGGACAACCACTCTCCCCCAGCCCCCAATATGCATATCTCTAAGTGAAAATCTACTTTCACATCAGGCTTTAGGACCTAAGGGGACCACATTCCTGACGCTTTTCACACTGCTGGGGAGTACGGAACATCTTCTCTTGGTTAAGAGGCTGTGGACAAAATCCAGAGCTGGGTAAAATGTGGGAAAGGGCCCCAGCTGAGACCCAGTAGTTCTGGGTTTTCCACAGACTCAACCTTGGACCTCTCCTTCCATATCTGGAAAATGGGAACCGTGCACTTGCTCTGAACCCAAGGACAAGGAACTACTCTAGGTCAAATTCCCAAGCTCCAGTGACCTCCTGCAAATAGCAGCTGAACCACCTTGTCCCCAGAAGCTGCAAGCACAAATCGGCAGCTGAGACGCACCTCAGGGCCCAGTTCACCTAAGCACAGGCAGTGTACTATTATGGTGGAGCCAGGCAAGGGGCCCTGGGGCAGAATTCTGAGTTGTCAGTATGACGCATGGGATAAATTAAGTTCAGAAATAAAGTCAGAGTGGGCTGTGACAAGTTGGCCACAAACCACATTCCCTGGCCAGAGCTGACAGGGGAGCACCAGGGAAAGCCTAGGCCAGCATCCTCCAAGTCCTCCCACCTCCTCATAGGTCCGGCCCCCAGGCCTTTGCTTGGCCATACTCCTGCCTGGTGTGTTCTCTCTGAATGGCTCCAGACACAGTGACCCGCCACCTGCCTCACCCAGCAGGGCCTGATTCAAGTGAAGGGGGCCTTGTTGGAGGCAAGGGGTTCCTGGTGGTGAGGTGCTTGGGCCAGCAGTCTGTGTTCAAGGCTCAGTCTTAGGGTGAGGCTGTTTCCTGCAAAACCCCAGCTAGTGTCCAATGGGTCAGGACTGGATGACCTTCCAGCCTCCATGAGGAATCTGTTACTGAGACACTTACTTACACCCTGTGTAGTAACTACCCTCTACCCGTCCTTCACGGAGATAATAGACACCTCCTTCAGGAAGTCCAGATAGAGTGTCCCAGATTCAGCCCCTTGACACCCAGGTGCACCCAGCTGCCCTGCTTAGAATTCCAGCCTCCTCCTTGATTTGTTTTGAGCATGTCCTCAACACTATCGGACATACTTTAATTTACTGATTAGTTGATTTTATGTCTCCCCCACTGAAATGCAAGCCCTAAGGTGGAAGGTCTTTGTCATCTTGTTTACTTTTGTGTCTCTGCATGTGGAGCAGGGCCTGGCACTCCGGGCCTCAAATGTTAAACAGGGGATGAACAGAAGGAAGGATACACAGCATATGCAAAGACTCAGGGGTGGAAGATTGTGATAGCAAGGAAGAGTGCAGAAAGTTGGAGTCACAGTGTGAGGTCCTCAGGAGGTGGGTCAAGGGAGGATAGCAAGGCACAAACTAAGGGTTCAGGAATGCCAGACCAAAGCTTAGAGGATGACAGGTGGCCACTGCAGGGTGTTAAACTGGAAGCGACAAGCTCATATATGAGTTTAGGACAATCCAGCTGGCTGAGTAGAGGAAGACTACAGGGACAGAGAAACTAGCAAGGCAGCTGTGCAATGAGTCAGGTAAGGAAGAGTGGGCACCTGAGCAATGCAGGGAAAGGGGTGTCCATGGTAAAATCAGGAGAGTAAGCAGGAGGCTGGTGGGCAGTGAGTGGCCTTAGGAGTGGGGCAGGGCTGAGCAGCCTCTCAGATGGGGTTCTTCCTGACCAGCCCCTAGGCCAGCCATTTGCATGGGAAGCTTCATCCCAAATGGCCACCCCAGGGGTTGGGGAGCAGGGGACCCAGCCCAGCTCTGCCTGTCAGGACTCCGTCAACACTTGCTATTAATGGCAGGAGCCAGCATTTGCCATTCAGCACTGATCATGCAAGTGTGGAAGAGGCAAGTGAACCCTGCGGGGAAGTTCATCTAAGGCCAGGGCTGGGCTTGGGGTGTTCAGTCCCCCAGGAGAAGGCGACTGGCACTGGTCAACACCTATGGGCCAGGTGTGCAACGGATGTTTATATGTATTCAGTCCTCACAGTGAGGTGAACATTTTTACTCCCACGGTGCTACCTTCCATAAGGAGGCCAAGCCGAAGACATGTGCAGGCTCGGCCAGGCATCAGCCATCAGGAATCATGTTTCTGCCCAACACAGAAGTTTGTGATCATCACAGCAGCTCAGCAAAGGAACGGACTGGCCAAGGGGCATTCAAGTGGCCTCCCAGGACAGGCATTAGAGGCAACTGAATGTTTGTTGGCACCCGTGGAGGGAAGCAGTTGGGCAAGTTGTCTTCTAGAATTCTTCCCTGCTGGAGGATGGACTCAGCCCTTGTCCCAGGCCACCAAAGACCCCCTTTCCAGGAGTAGAGTCTACTGTGTCAGTCTGGGCAGAGACATGGGCTGCCATTTCCCTCTCTATTGCTGGGACATCAACCTTACCACATGATGGGAAAGCTGAGGCCCAGAGACCAAATGCAACTGGCCCCAGTCTTATTCATACCACTGGAGGATTGAACCAGGTTGTTGTCCCACGGTGTCTATAGGCTCTGATCCAACCCTGCCCTGGTCATGGAGATCACCTGACTCCTAGACACACACACATGGTGGTCAGAGATTCCCAGGGGAAAGGAAGGAGGAATTCCTGTAATTCCCTGTGGTGGTCCCCAGCCTGCTCCTGGGAACTCTGCAAACACCAGCACAGGTGTGCAGACAAGAAGCATAGGTGGCATTGGCATCTCATTTCTCAGCATGGCTTCAGCAGGCAGAGAATGGGGCTGCCTGTCCTAAATTCCATCCTCCTCTTTCCTTGGGCTTCCACCAATAAAGCAGTGTCCCTGGGGGTCTCCATGTGGCTTCTCAGGAGGTCGACCTTACTGTATAATTAATGACCTACATCTATCAATTCTGCATGTTCCAGACCTGGTGAGGGGGCACTGACTCAGGACTCCCAGCTCTGAATCCCAGCTCTGCCCCTGACCTTGAGCCTCATTCCCAGAGGGTTCAAACATTCCATGGGCAGGATGCAGCCAGCACAGGAGTTTGTTTGTTTTAGTCAAGTTGGTTGCAAACATCTAAGAGATAAAAGATCAGGACATTTTAAAAAAAAATCTACATTTCCAGCTTTTCTCAAAAAATCAGAAGATCCGGTCTCACTGGGCTTCCAGTCCTGTCAGGCAACAATCCTCTGGCATGAGATACATTCTCCAGTCCCTCCAGGCCAGAAAACTTCTGGAGGCCAGTAAGTTTCCTACCTCACTCCAGCTCGGGGCCCCGTCCTCTTGTCTCAGGGTCGCTGGTCATTGGATGGGTGCTATGTTGATGGTTGGAGGGACAGGTGCACAAAATGATAACAATAATGCTTGCTCTCTGCCCCCAACTTTCCCAGAGGAGCATGAGGGGTCCTGGTGTTTTGTAAACTTTGAAGTGCTAGGAAATAATAATAGCAATGAACACTTACATAGTACTTACCATCTTACCATTAAGATGCCTGACCCTGTTCAAAACAATTGCTTCCTTTACCTCATTCATCCTCACCATCTAAAGTGTCTAGAAAAGAGCCCAGCACACAGCAGGCACTCAATAAATGCTAGCCATCCACACACTTGCCAAGCACTCTCACCAGCAATTAGCTCACGTGGGGATAGATGAGGCCACTGGGGTTGGAAGACCTTGAGAGAAGCACCACCCAAGGTCACAGGAGATCAGCAGGGAAGACCCCAGGGAGCAGTTCTGAAGAGGGATTCCTGAGAGAGCCTCTGGGAGAGCAGAGAGTGGGGCCATGGGAATGAGAAACTTGTTATGGTTTGGATGTCAGGCAGCCTCCTAAAGCTCACGTGTGAGACAGGGCAAGAAGGCTCAGAGGTGAAATGACTGGGTGGTGAGAGCCTTCACCCAATCAGTGAACTAATCCCCTGATGGGATTAACTGGGTGGTAACAGAAGTCAGGTAGGGTTCGACTGGGGAGGTGGGTCATTGGGCCTGTGCCTTTCTGATCACATCCTGAGCCACTTCCCTCCACTGAGCACTTCCGCCATGATGTTCTGCCCCACCTCAGGCCTCGAGAAATGGAGCTGGCCATCTATGAACTGAGACCTCTGAAACTGTGAGCCCCCATATAAATTTTCGCTCCTTAAAATTGTTATTGTCAAGTTCTTTGGTCACAGCAGGGAACAAGCTGAACTAATTCTGGTTCTAGCCGGGGCATGTCACTTCCCCCACCCTTCCAGCCCTGCAACCTGTCATCACCATGACCCAGCCGCCTGAACCCAGCAGGCCCTCTCCATTTAGCTCCTCTACTCACAGGTGCAGAAACCAGGGCTCAAGAAAGGAGGCATCCGCATCTTTGGCAGGGAGCGGTGCCTGGGCAGACCCAGCACATTCTGGTGTCAGCACTGCCCCTTCCCAGCTCTGAGACCCTGGCCACTCCTCTTAACCACCAATCCTCCACTTCCTTACCTTGGTGGCTCAGCAGTAGTGTTTCCCCAGTCTCAGGCCCGGAATGCTGGGGTGTTGCCTGGATTGTCCCATTTACTCTTCCCAAAAACCCCATTTCATGGATGAGGAGATGGGAGCTCAAGGAATTCAGCAAGCAATTTTCCTGAGGTCACATGGCTGTGGGCCAATAGAGTCAGGCTTCAGACCCAGCTCTGCGAGAGTCCAAAGCTTGTGTTCTTGAAATGAAGAAAACAATGTGGACTTCATACAATCCTTGTGCAAATAAAATGAGATAATAAGTCGCCAAATAGTAGCAAATGCTTCTGAGGAGTCTCTCACTACTGTGCCAGGTGCAGCTGGAAGCATTTTAAAGGTATCAGCTCACCTAATCCACATGTCACTATTGACAGACACTGATGCTGTTATAATCCCCTATTATTGATCAGGAAACTGAGGCACAGAGAGGTTAGGTGACTTGCCTGAGGTCACAAACTAGTGCATAGTACAGGCAGACAGCTACAGCTTCCTTGCTTAGGAACACAGAGCCCCTGAACTCCCACAGCTTTCCTCACATCTCTAGCACTGTGTTGCCAACAGAGTCCCCACTGAGGTCACAGGGCACAGGGATTCCTGTTCCAGCCAGCTCCCTGCCCCATCCCTCCAGCTCCACCCCAGAATCTTGCTGGATCTGGTGGATGTTAAAGAGAGTTAGAGCCTCTCTGCTCCATCACTTCCCAAAGCCTAGGTCTGGGACCCCCAGCAGGTCCCATGGGAGACACAACACTTCTCCAGTCCTTTGTCCCACCCCTCCAGGCCCTAGTAAGCAAGAAGACATCTACGACAGTCTTCAATGTGCCTTTTCCAACCTCTGGGCCTTTTCTCCAGCTGTTCCCTCTGCCGGAAGGCTCTTCCTTCTTCAGAAAGATCTCCAGCTCTCTGTAGGTGGAGTTTGTCTGCCTATCTCAGTCCCCACAACCCCTGAGGCCTTTGTCATTATGATTGTATGTGTCTGTCTCAATCCCTGAGCTGTACGATGAACAATATTATACAAACACGCGATCCCCTCCAAAGACACAGCAACACACTCAGGAACATACAACCACACAGAAATATGCCACAACTCTTTGCTCATAGGCTATGCCCAGACTCCCAGAGGCCCAGTACACAAAAGCACAGGCATGCACAGGTGACCTCCTGACCAGGACACCCATGTACGTGTTTCCATTGAAACACACAACGGGATAAGATCTGTGAGCCTCCCACCCCACAGCATACTTCCAAGCGCTCACAGACATAGCTACCAACACAAGTCACGTGCAGAAATTGCCCTTTACACACCTGATATACACAGGAGTATGCAATCATGCACAGGCAGGCAACACCACCCCTCAGCGGGATCACTCGCAGAGGCACCATCCCAGGCCTGTGTTGGAGTCGGTCCCCAGGCAGGCTGGGCAGGCTCTGGCCTGCGGCTGAGAAGGGCATCTCCTGGGAGACAGGCTGGGAGGCCCTGGGAGCAGGGCCTGGGAAACCAGGCCACCACCTCCTGCCAGAGCTCACGCTGGGAGGGGAAGATAAATGATGCGTCTTAGTAGAGGAGGGTGGTCCTCAAAAAGGAGGAGGGCTCCCGGGCTGATTCCCGGTTCCCTTTCTTGCTTGCCACTTACGCTTTCAGACTACCTCCACCCCCAGCAAGCCCCTACCCACCAGGCCACTGCTCCAGCCACCCTCGTCAATCTTGCCCCTTATATAATGACCAGATTTTGCCAACATTTGCAGAGCACAGGGCCAGACCCAGGGAGATTTTGGCCCCAGGAGCCCCACAGATCTCATGCTAGCTGGCTCTGACGATCTGCTTCACCATTTCATGGGATCTTCTTGGTGCCTCTGACAGGAAGCAGTCTGCCCATTTTAAAGATGTGAAGAAGGAGGTTTGGTAGGTGAAGGAAATTGCCTGAAGTCATCTGGCCTCCCAAGATGGCAGCTGTCCCTAAGCCACCCCCCACCCCAGGCTGGTGCAGATTTCCCCTCAGTCCTATCTACCACCTGGGGAAGCAAAAGGAGTGATCAGACCCCAGGTGGGTGGGGTCTTTCTTTGGGGCCTATGGAGGTAGCAGGATAGCTGGTGCTGGGGACAGCTGGCCTTCCTAGCTCTGGGAAACCATCTCTCTACATGTCAGGAGAGGGCTTCCAGGTCTGAAAGCCATAGACACCCGTGGGACACAGTGTCTGCTTTTACTGGTAGCCCCAGTTCCACATCTGGGTGCTAACAGGCTGTGGTTGGGTTACCAGGTAGAGGCAGCACCCATGACAAGTTCCTGTGAGACCCCCAAGTTCCACAATCCCTCGCACGAAGGAACTGGGAATTTTGGACTATCCTGGGCCCTGCAAGAGAACACACTGGTGCTGGGATCAGCACCGAGGGCTTATGAGATTACAACAGGAAACTTCCAGGCCAGCCCCACTACCTTTAAGAACTAGGCAAGACAGCTTCAGAGGCCAGGGGCAGGTTTAGGGAAGCATGAAACTACTCCTGGCCTGCTCCCTGCAGGCCTGCTGCCCCTGGACCCTGAGAAACTCTTCTGAGACTCTGGATGCAGTGACCATCTCTGGCCTCTGCCTCCCCAGCTCTCAAACCATGGTCCCCATGTTGGAAGGGGGCTTGGTGATCTTCAACCAGCTGTGGGGTGCTAGGAGTCCCCTCTAGCCTGCACTGGGTTCACTTGTGTGACATGGGCTCACCAGTCTGATTTCTTCTTTCCCATCCCATAGGAAGACAGCATTTCCCAGCCTAACTTGCCAAGGTGACAAAGGTCATATGCTATGATTTGGATGTGGTTTGTTCTCACCAAGCTCAGATTGAACCTTGGCTGCTAATTAGCAGTGTTGGGAGATGGATGTATAAGAAGGATTAATGTTTTTCTTGCAAGACTGGATTAGTTCTTACAGGAATGGATTACCTCTCACAAGAGCTGGCTGTTCTAAACTGGGTCAGTGTTTTTGTCCCCTCCTTCTCTTCCACGTTGCCCTCTGGCTAGTCTGGCATGTGTCCCACGATGGGATACTATCTACCATATTATTACACACTGCAGCAGATTCAGCCACTGGATCTTGAACTTCCCAACCTCCATAACTGTGAGCTAAATAAACCTCTTTTCTGTCTACATTACCCAGTCTCAAGTATTCTGTTAGAGTAACAGAAAATGAATCAACATACAATGTAACTGAGTTCTTAGAGAAGGTGTATGGGAAGAAGTGATGTTTACTATTCTCAGGCCCAGTCTTACAACCAATAGAGTGACAATCCTTGCTCTTTTCTTTGCCTCTCACAATGATAATGTGTTGAGATAGTGGTACTGTGAGATTGAAGGAACTTGGATTCCTGAGTAGATATATGGAGGACACATATTCAGGAGATCCACTGACCCACACTGTACTGTGTGTAACAAGAAATAAACATTACCTATAACCCTATTGAGATTTCAAGGTTGATTTTTTTGTTTCAGCATAACTTAGCCTGACTAATAAACTCCTCTTTAAATTTTATATTTGTAGATTTCACCTGAGATTTTTAGCTCTGTGACTAAAATCCCCTACCCAAGATGTCTTCTCTCAGGGTCTCACAGCTCCCATGTCCTTGAGGATTATATTTTCAGGCAGTTTTGGGCAGTGGAAGAAAGGAGCTTTAGCCGGTCATGTATCATGGCTTGACTGCAGGCGAGCTTCACATTTTCCTTCCTTCCTCCTTCCCTCCCTCCCTCCCTCCTTCGCTCCCTCTCTTCCTTCCTCCTTCCCTCCCTCGTTTCTTTCCTTCTCTCTCTCTCTCTCTCTCTCTCTCTCTCTCCATACTGGGGATTTAACCCAGGGCCACTTTACCACTGAGACACATCCCCAGCCCTTTCTATTTGGAGACAAGATCTTCTCACTAAGTTGCTTAGAGCTTTGCTAAGTTGCTGAGGCTGGCTTTCAACTTGTGGTACTTCTGCCTCAGTCTCCCAAGCTGCTGGGATTACAGGGGAGCACCACGGAGCCTGGCTGGCTTCACACTTTTCTGAGTCTCTGTCTCACGCATAGAATACCTGATGCTTCATCTGCAGGGAACCTGGCGTACAGGTGAGGTCCTGTAAACTGTGAAGGTGAGGATGGTGCACTGACCTTCTGTCATTATGTGGACACCCTCTGCCTCAGACAAGGGCAGGGAGAGACTTTAAAGCTTTTTTTTCTACGTGAAGTTTCTGGAAGTCATCTGGAATCTTGAAGTTTCATTCATTGCTTCATCAGACAAATATTTATAGAGTCAGTACTCTTTGCTGTGAGGCCACGAGGCTAGGTTCTGACATCAAACCCTCCTGTCTTTTCTCTTCTTCCTGCTCTCTCAGGAATAGTCTCCTTTGTTTTGGAGAAGAGAGGGTGGTGTCAATCCGCACAGCCACCATGGCTCACTTTTGTTGAGAGTATACTATGTGCCTGGCCCTTTGTGGTTTGGTAAAGCCTCATTATCCTCAGTAGGATCAGAGAGTTTTGAGCTGCCTGCCCAGTGACACAGTAGGACTCATGGCAAAGCTGGAATCTGGGACTGATAAAATCCTGCCCCAGCACCTGCTCACAGGACTGCAGAGCCACCCTGCCATGCCCATTTGTGCAAGGTGTGTGCGTGGAGGTGTTCAGGGGCAGGCCAACGAGAGGGGGCCATTGGGAGAGGGTTTCCAGGACAAAGCAAAATAGTAAAATTGCTCCGTTATTTTGTCTCTTCTGTTGCTATGTCTCAATTTCCCTCTTAGTTCATTTGATGTGACTGACACACAGTTTTTGCTTTGCTTTTAATTCGTCTAGTAGCTTCTTACAGTCCTCAGGATTCTGCCTAAGATCCGAGGCTTGGCATTCAAGGCCCCCAGGATGGTCTTCCAGCCCACTTCTGCCCCATGTCCTGGGCCCTGTGCTGCTTAGTGTGAACCATGGGTGAACAGTGACCCCCCAGTCCAGTCTGCTCTCTCACCCCGAGGCACCCTAGTCTTGTCCTCTCTTCTTGGTGTGCTCTTCCCACTCTCCCATCCAGTTCATTCCTGTCTGACTTTCAAAACTCAGCTATGGAAGCCTGTCCTGGACTCCCGGATTGGGCTAGATTCTCTCCTCTGCATTGTCACAGCCCTGATCCACTGGGATGTCACAGTTCCATATCTTCCTAACACTTGATGGCTCCTGAAGGGCAGGACCTGGGCTGAGTCCCCAATATAATCCAGTGCAGGGCCAGCCACTGAGGGACATCAGTGACCCTGGGTGGACCTGGATCATGAGTGAGGTTTCATGGACTCTTGGGAGATGAACCCACATCAAGTGGCAGGTTGAAGAGAGGATGGGATGGGACCAAGGGTGGAGAAAGGTGTGAAGACCAGGGCACAGGGAGGTCAGAGTAGCCAGAGGGGTCTAGGGACTGGACTCCTCAGGGCTTGGTTCATCTGAGGCCTCAAGGAGAATTACCTACACTGGTTCTGAAGGTTGCTAGAACTGGACCACAAATATCCCATGAGACCATGGCTGGGTTGTGGCCCCAGTATTAAAAATTTTTATAAGTAATATATATGTATATGTACACACACACACACACACACAATAGATACATACAAAAGAGATGATGTATGTAGCATTTTGTAAGGAAAGAGTAGACCAGTCACACTCCTTATTATCCACTTCAGGACCTTTCTCAGAAAGAAAAGAGTTGTGATAGATAATTACGTTAAGACGACATATATAACGAATATTGTCCTGGGAACACCAGCTGTATGGCCACCTTGGATAAAAAGCATAGATAATGAGTGTCTTTGAAGCCAAGTTAAACTTGAGAGCACGGCTGATAATGTGGGCTTCCTGCCTGTCCCGCCCAGCCTTCCCTACAGAAGTAACCACTTGAATTTCCTCTTCTAAAGCCAATTCCTATACAACCTAGGGAAATCTAAACAGCCTAGTTTGTTTGCTTGTTGTCAAGGCTTGTAAATGTTGGACTATGCTGTGTCTCTTGCAGCAAGCTTTTCTCACCCAGTGTTGTGTTTCTAGATTCTTCCACATAGTTGGCTGTGGCTCTGTTGGATTCATTTCCACTGCTGTAAAGGATTTCATTATATGGAGATGCCACAAGTCACCCATTTTCCTGTTTAAGGCCCTAAGGGAATTTCCAGGTTTTTGCCATCACGAATAGCGCCAACAAGACCCTCCATGTTCCTGTCTCCCAGGGCTTGTGCATGAGAGTTTTTTTAAACAGTTTACACTAAGTAATGAAATTACTAAATATTCCCCTTTGAGAAGCCCAAAGCTGGTGCAACAGCCCACACTGCATCAGGAGCAGGTCAACTCACACCTTACCAAATAATTGTCACCATCAGATTCTTTGTCTGTGGAAGATCTGTGTACTTAATTTGCATTTTCCTGATTTCTTTTTCTTTTTTCTTTCTTTCTTTTTTCTTTCTGTTTTGGTACCAGGGATTGAACTGAGGGGCACTCAATCACTGAGCCACATCCCCAGCCCTTTTTTGTATTTTTTTTTTTAATTTAGAGACAGGGTCTCACTGAATTGCTTAGCGCCTGGCTGTTGCTGAGGCTGGCTTTGAACTCATGGTCCTTCTGCCTCAGCCTCCCCAGCTGCTGGCATTATAGGCACTTGCCACCGTGTCTGGCTTATTTTCCTACTGATTTCTATAATGT